ACAGACTCAACACTCAGCATCAAGAGGCAAGAGTCTTCAATCATCATCATCATCATCATCATCATCATCATCATCATCAAAAGGAATATCAATAGCGCAAGCCTCATCATATGCATCAGAGTCGAGACCATCATCATTCTTCTGAATCTGGCTCTTCTTCCTCTTCTTCTTCTACCTCCCTCTTACTAGTATGTGTAGTCTGTTCAGATGAGGCCCTAAGAGTCTTGACTACTGTACTCTTTTTTTTTGTGGTTCTGTGAACTCAAATATTGTATAATTTCCTCCTTGGTAGCCTCAGGAACATTTTTACACGGAGCAACATCCCCCGTAATACCGACAACGTGTTTTTTAAACCGATAAATTCCTCCATTAGTATCCTTTCCACAATAATTACATTTAATACAATTTTTATCACTTGGATTCAAGATATAACCATACTTCCAACCCGGATCACCACTCCGACGACTAGAAGCTGAAGAAGATACTTCGATAGAACAAGGCTTATTTTCATCCTTTTTTGATTCTTCAAAATTCAAAAGATGTCTAATCTCATCTTGAACTGCTTCAAGAACCTTTGTACAAGAAGCAACATTACCTCTAACATCAGCAAGGTGTTTTTTGAATTGGCTAATACCTCAATTGGTATCTTTTTCACAAAAATTATACCTTATACAATTTTTATCATTTGGTTTTGGGTTATACCCATACTTCCAACTCGGATCACTTCTTCTAGGAGTAGCAGAAATAGATCTATGACAAGGATCTTGTTCTTGTTTTTAGATTTACATAACTTAAAAATTGTTTAATCTCCTCTCAGACAGCTTCAGGAACATTTTTACAAGGGACAAAATCCCCCTTAATACCGGTAAATGTTTCTTAAACCGGTTTATGCCTCATTTTGTATCTTTTTCATTAAAAATGCATCGAACGTAATTTTTGTGATTTGGATTCAGGTTGTATCCATATTTCCAACCCGGATCTCCACTCCGACTAACTCCTAAAGAAGACATCTCAAAATAAAGCAAGAAATCTAAAAAATGCAATTACTTCGGTTGCTTGAACTCCAAACTTTGAAAACACTTTGATAATTCGATGATTGATCCAATAAAATGTAGTTTTTTGGAGTTTTTTTAGTCTAAAAGGGCTTCTTGTGGGTTTAGGGTTCAAATGAACCTAAAAGTCATCATTCTTAACTTTTAAATATTTCAAAATAACAAAAACAAAAACAAAAAAAAATAATTTTTTCCTTCTCTAGGGGGGGCACAAGCCCTGGGAGGTAGGCGGGCCGCTCAGGGACGGACAGCCCAGTTTGACCGCCTAGGCACTGGGCGGTCCGTGTTTTTGAACAATGCTCAAGGCACATGTCCAAGAAGCATGGTCTTATCTTCAAGATAGACTGGACGAAAGAGTACGACCATGTTGACTGGTCGATTCGAGACGAGTCAATGGCTAGAATGGGTTTCCAAGACCTGTGGAGAAAGTGGATGAGAGGATGCTACTCTCATCCTCACTTCTCGATTCTCATCAATGGAACCCCAAAAGGTTACTTCTCATCCTAGAGGGGGCTATGCCAAGGGGACCCACTCTCCCCCTTCCTTTTTGCCATTACAACATAAGTCTTTAGCCGTTCAATGCCTCATTTGAACCAGGAAGGTCTCCTCATCGGATTCAAGAGCAGTTCCCAAGGTCCAATAGTGTCTCATCTGCAATATGCAGATGACACTGTGGTGCTCCTTGATGTCCAGAAGAAATTGATAATCTGAGGCTTTATCTCATATGCTTCCGAATGGTTACAAGGTTCAAAGTTAGAGCAGAGAAATCAAAGATGATGGGAGTGGCACTCACAAATACTGAAATCATAGCGCTTATTCCAAATTGGGAATGCAAAGTGGAAGAACTTCCCACAACATACCTTGGTCTACCCTTGGGATTGGGGAAACCAAAAAGGAGACAGTGGTCGTAGGTGATTGATAAGGTTGACAGATGTCTGGTAGGGCGGAAAGGGAGATACTTCTCCATGGCTGGCCGTACCACCTTGATAAAACCTTGGTAAACGCTCCGGTCTACCTCATGTCTCTCTTCTACATGCCAACCTCGGTGGCCAACAGCCTTGAACAATTTTTGAGGAATTTCCTCTGGTTAGGACGCGCTGAGAGAACCTAATACCACCTTGTACTGTGGTACAAGATCTGCTTGCCCAAACACCAGGGAGGACTAGGGATTAGGACCTTAGAAAACATAACCTGGCCCTTTTAGGGAAATGGTGGTAGCGCCTAGCCACTCAAACAGATCCCCTATGGGCTCAAGTTGTACGCAGCAAATATAGGATTCCGGAAGGAGTTTGGGTGCCTGAGAGGAGGCAGCAGAGTAGAGATTCAGGAGCGTGGAAGTCGTTTGCCTCCTCTCTCTCACAGTTCACAAATTCATCAAATTCCATCCAAGAGAAGGAACAAGAGTGCACCTTTGGTCAAACGTTTGGCTAGGACACGCTCCCCTAAGGGAACTTTTTCCCTCCTTTTAGTTTCTTGCCTCAAACACGGACTCTACCATTGCAGAGGAAATGGTATTGTTAGGAGGCCGAAGAGTCTAGAACCCCTCATTCAGAAGAAACATCTCAGATGAGGAAACCAGCCATTTCCTGTCACTCTTGGCAGTTTTACATTCCATCTTCATCTCTACACAAGGGAGGGACTCCATGGTATGGACTCTAGCCCCCTTCGGTACTTTCTCGGTGGCCTCTTTTTATAAAAGACTCATCCAACCCCCACCTATCCTCCTAATCCTACGTCAGTCCTTTCTAAGGTCTGGTCCACAATTGCCCCTCCCAAAGTCCACACTTTCAACTCGATTGCTCTTGTTCTCAACGGGCACTCACAGTGGACCAGCTTCAGAAAAGAGGGATTCCAATCCCCAACAAATGTGCCATGTTCTTGAGCGAGGAGGAATCGAATCAACACCTCTTCATCCACTGTAAGCTAGCCCACAACCTTTGGAGTCAAGTATTGCAAATGTTTGGTTTCCAATAGGTTACTCCACCGACGGTCAAGGCCCTAATTTCCTCGGATCTGCGTCACACTGGCCGAAGGCCGGAAGAACCTTATGGAAGGCTACCATCGCCGCTTCTATATGGGTGATTTGGGTAGAAGGAATACGAGAATATTCCTAGGTCACAAACTCCAGGTACCAACACTTTTCCACAAGGTTACTACTCTAGTAACATTTTGGGCATCCAACCACAAGGTGTTCTAGGGCCTTTCAGCGAACACCTTTCTCAGCCAATGGGAAAACATATCTACCACCAACCACGAAAGGTGCAAAGATCAAACAACTGGCTGCCACCTCCAGAGGGCACCATCAAGCTCAATTTCGATGGTTGCTCCCTAGGGAACCCCGGCACTGCAGGATCGAGAGGTATCTTTAGAGACCACCATCACAATATTCTCTACACCTATTCTGAACATCTAGGCCACAGAGACTCTCAATAGGCTGAAGCCACGGCCCTGTTGTTGGGTCTCAAAATCTTTAACCATTCCTGGGGTTCACACCTTCTAGTGGAAGGAGATGCACACAATATTATCTCTTGGGCAACCGGGACAACACCACCTCCATAGTACCTACCTTCGATCTTTGATGGAATTGCTTATATTTGTAGGGATACATTCGTCTCATGGAAGCATATCTGAAGGACATGCAACGAGTTCGTCAATCTTCTGGCGAAAGTTGGGGCTAGGAACCAAGTAGAAGACAACGCCCGGTCTATCTCCTTTTTTGATCAAGACCACAGAAGGCACACAACATAGAACATCTCATTGTAATCGGGCAATTCTATAAGCCCAATTTTTGTTAACCTAATGTAAATCTCTTGTAATAGGGCAGGTTTATAAGCCCACATTTTGTATAGGGTCTGCTGACAATTTTTTACCGAGAGACCTGTTTAGAGGGTTCCCTCGGACTACCACACATCTATATTCCAACTTCTCTTAGCAATACAAAAGTTAACCTTACTCAAAAAAAAAAACAATGGTAAGGAAAATTTATCTAATACCCAAACCAGAGTTATAGGCCTCTAACATGGGGAGTTTGGGGAGAAAATTTTCATTTTCTCAGTTCTCGTGATCCCAAACCAAAAGCATAGTTCTTCTAATCAGCGTTCAAAAATTCAAACTTGATGGCTACACGGTAATGCCCAAAAATTGCGGCCAGATGAATTCTGGACTAAGAAAAACCATATGACTTTCTCAAATTTTCATGTGAAGAATTCTAGGAAACTAAAATGACTGCATCGAAATCAAATTAGGCTAATGTAAGACAGACCTTAGCACGACCACATCATGTTTTTGTTTTATTATATATATATATATATATATATACAACATCCGGGTTTTTCATTTGTAAGAAGTAACCACCTGGGAGCTCACTCCAACAACATTTACTTGAAGCCGAGTTTCTATGAACTGGTTAATAGACAAGTAACAACCAAGTTTCTCCAGCAATTGCTGCTTTAAAAAACATTTCAATCAAACGCCCATCAGCACAAAGTAGCAAACAAAAATAAATAAATAAATTTGAAAGATCAAAAAATTAAGAAAAGAATCCTTTAAACAAAAGCAAGAACCTCTACTTATGAAGCATATATTCACTGAAAAGTTCTCTCCCTTATGAAGCATATGCTCACTAGATATAGCAATGAACAACTTCAGTAACAGATTTAAACTTTCGAAATCACAGTACCAAATAGCACATCCAAAAAGAAGATCACAAAAGCAAGCCCTCACGTTCTCCATAAACCGGAGCATTCTAAGTAGACATCCTGAGCCCTAGCTCAATTCAACAATAATCTATCACATTTTCTACAATTTAACAAAACGAAATTACAGATATAGGGCCATTTACATTTTTAAAATAAAACCACGAAATTCCAACAACAACAAAAAAAAAGAGGAAGAAACGTTTCATAAATTTACACCACGCAATCAAAGTTGAAGGTGAAAAACTCATACCGCATTCGAGGCATTGTCATCAGCTTGCATGGAAGGCCATAACTTTTTGAAAACCTCGGGACTCCTATAGGTTGATCCAGGAGGTGGGCGATTAGCGACTACAGGCCCCTCAAATGGCAGAGACCCCATATAAAACAACATCCCGCATATATAAACAAGAGGCACAAAGAGCAAGACCCCATGCCTTCTATACACAACAGAGAAAAGAAGATACACAAGCCTATGTATTACATTCTGCAACTTCAGAGGAGGGCCAAGCCCCAAAGCTCCTCGAGCCTTTCCTCGAGAATGGCGAAACCTCGGAGAGCGACATGGAGAGGAAGGAGGGGAATGTGAAGAGGCTAAGCCGCCATTAGCGAGCCTATTGTAAGCGTTCATGCTTCGACCTAACGATACCTCGGCTCTGGATAAACCCCAGGGGTTTGGTTCCTCTGGTTCTAATGGCCATGAAATCTCAGCATTTCAGAGCTCCTCCTCCCCTTTGTAAGAAACTTGTTGGTGAGAGAAGATCAGGTGGGTAACCAAGAATGCTCTCAAACTGAGTGGGAGCGCGTTTTGCCAAACAGAAAATCTAGTCAAGCGAGAGAGGGAGCGCGTTTTGCCAAACCAGAGATGAAGGGTGAAAATTGGTTGACACTTCAATGCGAGCCTCTCTCCCTCTCAATGTGGAGATCACGGTACGCAATTCAAAGAGTTCACTTCCGTTGCAAGCTCTCTGGTTCACTTTCTCTCTCTTCTTCCTCTGTCTCTCATTCAATGTGAGAGCGCATTTCTCTGGTTCACTCTCTCTCTTCCTCCTCTCTCTCTCATTCAATGTGAGAGGGCCGTTCTCTGGTTTACTTTCTCTCCTCCTTCAATGACGGGGCATTTCTCAGGTTCACTTTCTCTCTCTTCTTTCCCCTCAATGTGAGGGCATTTTGGGTAACAGAAAGAGCTGCCTCTCTCTCTCTTTCCAAATCTGAACTGATCTGAGCCGTCAGTGCGATGATCACCGGCACTTGTCTTCAAATCCAGGCCATCTCACTCTCTCCTCTGCCTCAACTCCCCGCGGGGTTTAAAACATTACAGCTTAACATTTAAGTCGCCACTTTCTCTATCCTCTTAGACCTTCACATTGCACTTTCTCTCTCTAAACCTCACATACTTTTCGTTAATTCTCATATATTTTTCCTTAAATATGTTTGAGCTTTGCAGCCGCCTTCGGCCGGGACAAATATCGCCAACCAGATTATAATGGTTTCCTTCTCGCATATGATAAATGTGTCTTATTCATATATATTCCCTTCAATATTTATGTATTTGTTAAAATATGTTAAATCTATAATATCCATGAGAAAATTTGGAGAGGAACGCAATTGGCCATACCGACAAGATTAAGTTTATAATTTACGGCCAAGGGATGCTGATAATGACACTTTAGGATAACGGGAATTTAGCTCCTATTGTCTTTATGTCATGGAAACTCCAGAAAAATAAGGATTATATGTAATGGAACTATTTAGGTCACAATTACTTACAATTATTCGATGTGAAATCTGATCATTTTGTGTAACAAAATTTTAAAAAAAAAAAAATTTAACTTGAACTTGGTCAGCAACCCAATTTCACATCTTATGATTAAAATTAAACATGACCACCTTGTAACAAAAATAAATATGTCTTTATATAAAAATTGACTAAACTTATATTTTATTTATTAGATAGTTACCCAAAAAATAGGTATCGGAGGCCTCCTGAGTTTGATTTATTAGCAAGGTATAAAGGAAAAAAGGGTGTTGCTCAAAACAAACAAACAAAGTTGGCTTTCTTCCCATAAAATGGAACGCACTCTAGAAATAGTAGAGAACATAGTAAAAAGCTTGAAAAAAGGGAGTATTTTCCTTTGTTTTTCTACTTTTCTTTATTAGACAAAAAGTAATAGGGCCCACGCGCTCTTTCAGGTACAAGAGAGAGCGAGTGAATCACATGCTTGCCATGGCTTGCTGAATAATGAATGAAGCATGGCGTGTGCAACAACTCGATGAGCAAGTATTGAATGTCTCACATTGCACCATGTCCCTCGGCATAGAGAATTCGTGACACTTGATGTTTTAATGGATGTCAAAATTGCGAAGCGCATTTTCTTTTTTTAACATTCGTATAAAACGTTTTTATTATTTTTTTAAGAAATTTATACACATCATCATCATTATTGTTAAAGCTTTTTTTAATTAATTGGAGTCGGCTATATGAATTTTCATCTGTTTTATTTAGGGTCATACCCTCAGTGAGGCCACAAGTTCTCATATCTTTTCTCATTATTTTCAACCATATCCTTTTGAGCCTTCCACTTGTACTAAATCGTACTTCCTAACAAGTGTTGTATCGCATATATGCCACACATGACCAACCCACTTAAGTTTACTCTATCTCATCTTGTCACCTATTAGTGCTACATCTGAATTTTCCCGAATGTATTTATTTCGAAATCTATTCCTTCTTGTCTTGTCACTCATCCATCTCAACATCCTCATTTGTACTACTGGCATATTGTTTTTAGACTACCCAACATTTCTTCCCATATAACAAAACCGGTATCATAATTGTCCTACAGAAC